CCCAGGGGAGGCGGGCAGGGGCGGTGCCCACAGCCTCTGCCTGGGCCCCTGATGAAGACACAGGCTCTTCCTGTGCTCGGAGGTGGAGCTTCAGGCATCCCCTCCTTCTCTGAGCATCAGTATCACCTCTGACGGGGACTGCCGATCCCTCATTGCTCCCACAGTGAACTGGCCCTGCTTTCTGGCCCGAACTTCAGAAAGAGCTCCTTCAAAGCCATTTCATTATTTTTAATGCCATTTTTTAAGACTAATCACTGACAATGAGAAGAGTTTTAAAATAGAATTTTAGGCTTTCAGATTTTAATGGCCCTAGAAAAACCCCATTGTTAACTCGGAAGCAGCTGCGTACGTCTAAAACATCGCTTGGAGATTTGGCAGGGTTTCTTAGGAAATTTGAAGCTCAGCAAAAAGTGAAATTATGCTTGAAAATTTCCCAAATGCTCGGGAACTAACTTCCAAGGAAACTTTTCCCATTCCATTAATTGTGTAATACCAGCTTTCTCACAGCACATGTATGGGGCTGACATTTTAAGTAAGTGGTCCGTGAACGCAGGAAGCCAGAGCACCGGGCACTCAGCCACCACCCGGCCCGGGAGGGACTGCCTGCCTCTCCGTTTTCTTCTTTCTAGACCAGTGTGCTCCTCAGTGGGGGTGGGGGAGCACTCAGGAGTTCCCAGCCCTGGCTTTCCATGCAACTTCCAGGAAACCGTAAATAAAGCCACATCACATCGAGTCCCGTCACTGACCAACTCATCAGCGAGGGGGGTGGGGGTGGCATCGGGAAGCGTCCTAGCTCCCACGGGGGTTGTCATGTACAGCCAGAGCTGGGTACCACAGATGCAGAAAATGGCATTTAGAAGATCAGAAAAAAAAAGATACTATGAGCGCATGTCCGAGCACTGGACTTAACATCTGTCCTCTGGCAGAAGCATTGACCCGCTAGATGGGCTTCGGGAGCTAGAAAGCTGTGCCACCGCATCTCGAAAGTGACCAGGTCAAGTTTGTTTTCTATCACAACTTTGGGGACCTTATAGTTTCTAAATAGCAAAGTGTAGGGACATGGTCCTAGAACGGGTCCTCGCCCTGAGGCTGGGCAGAGGTCCAGTAGCATCTGCGAAAATAACTCTATTTCAGTCAAGCTTTGCTGCAGTCTGATGTCAGGAGCAGCAGCACGGACCCACAGCTGTGGTGGCTCCTACCAGCTATTGAGCCTTTAACCTTCATGACAACCCTACGGCTGGATATCTTGACCCTTCTTGCAGACAAGGAAATGGGGCTCAGGGACGTTGGGTAATGTGCTCAACGTTCAAGTCCACATCCCAAGTCACAAAACTTAGCTGCAACCAGCTCCAGGGAAGTGCTGTCAGAATGGCCTCCAGCCCCGCGCCCTCTCGGTGGGCTCTGACACCTGCTGTTATTAATGGGCTCCTCTCCTCCCCTTGGCTCCTCTCCACTGAGGCTGGGCTCTAAGGAAGGCCTTCTCACACTGTCACCTAATGCCTGTGTCTGGGGAATCCCACCCCGTACCCACCTGAGAAGGGAAGCTGGTGAAGTCTGCATCCTAAAGCAGTGTGGACAAGGCCAGGCTCCCTGTGCGTCCCCCACCCCCCCTTCCTCAGATAGAAAGCAGGAGCAGGCTGGTGTGTGAGGTGTATGTGGGCATGGATCTGACACACCCAAAGGGCTCCTTGGCACCAACCATGCCCACACTTCTCTGCCAGCTAACAGATGGCAAAGGCCAGGCCTGGGTGTGCAGGTGGCAAGTCAACCTCTGTTTGTTGGTGAAGAGGACTACATGGGCCTGTTGAAAGCCTCTCTCCTGTGTTCCCATCACAGGGAAACCCACAGTGATGTTTTTCCAGGTCTGGGCTACTGGCAATACAGCTCTTAAGTCAGTTACACCCCAACGTGTTCCCACAGCCCGGGATTCATGTCTGCATTTCCAACCCTAGTCATCAGGGCTCTGAGCTCTGATGACTCAGAAAAAACTGGAGCTTCGCTCCACGGGCAACCACTGCACCTGGCAGACGGGGCTGATGAAGAGCAGGGTGCCCCACAAAGGATGTGCTATTCTGGACCAGACGCCTGCCAAGCTGGTTCCGCAGGCAGCGTCACACATCACTGTGGGCAGCAGGAGCCACCACACTGACCATCCTGAGACCCAGGGCAGCTTTAGGGGTCAAGGAGCCCCCTCTTCAAAGTGAACTCTGAGGATCTACAACTTTTGAAGGGCATTTCTTTCCTTCATTATCTTACTAAGTGATGCTTTTCAGGGTTTTCTCCTTTCGTAAGCTGTCTCACCGGGTTCATGCTCTTTCCTCAGCCTGAAAAAACGAGGGGGCTCCTCCCCCAGAGCTCAGCAGGATTCCCACCTCTTCCAAGAAGCCCTCCCTGCATTCCCACTAGCTGAATCCCTGAGCCCTCTGGGCTTCCACTGCGGATCGTTGGCCCTCGATTAGGCACCAGCTTGTCCACTGCTTTCCTCTGAGGTGCCGCTTCCCCATCTTTTCTCCATGGCAAGGTCTCCAACGGAAGAGGCACTGGCTGTGTCATCAGACAGCAGCAAAACACAGGAGATGCTGGGCTAAGACATAGCGTGGACCCGCAGTACTACCAGAAGGCAACGCCTCAAATCCACAAACGCTCCTACTCCCCAATCACAGGCCAGAAAAAGGGTCCTACCACAACTGAGGTTGCCACCACCATGTGGGTCTCTGCCTCTTTCTAGAGGTGGAGCAATAGAGATGAAAGGCCATCAGCCTGCATGACCGCTCACTCAGCTCCCTTCAGGACACGCCTAAGAGAGCAAAGAAAGGCACGCTGCTCAGAAGACGGAAGGGTGCCTTCGGCATTTGCCAGCGGCTTAGGAGAAGGGGGCAGCAGCAACGCTGGGGTTTGGGAACGAAGAGGAAAAGAACACGGCAGGCAGTCCCCAAGCTGCACACAAGTTGCCGCCACACTGCAGGTGGGAAGGCCCTGGGGATTGATTCAGGCTGGCTCTAACACCTGGGAGTGCTGTGCTGAGGGCATGCAGACTCTCTTCTTACACCCAGTCACCTAGAGGACACCACCGAGCTTGGAACGTAAACCAACTTCTGCTTATAAACTCTGATCTCAAATTCGGCAAGCACAGTCAGCTCTAGCAATCCCCCTGCAACTCCCTAATCCTTAGGTGGTGAACACAGTTTCTTCCTTGAGGAGCAGTGGGTGAGACCTGGAGGAAACTGGGGGGAGGGGGAGGGGATTGGGGAGGAGAGCAGCCTGCGCCCCACTGGCTCCCCATTGGCACACAGGACTCGAGCAATCATGTCATCCATGACATCAGGAAACCCTCGCTCCCCGTGGCATCACAGCCTCAGAGTGCCAGGCTAGAAGTCACTGACGGCTATCTCAGTCAAGACTCCCCTCCAGCATGGGCCTCAGCCCCCACACTCCACTGCCTACAGAGCAACACAGACGGGCCTCATCCTTCCGGCTTCACATCTCCCTGGCCTGCACACCCTCTGGGTTCCAGCCAAACCCATGGCTCATCGCTTCCTCAAGCCTTAGTATTCCCACCTCGATGTCCTCCTCATGCCATTGCCAGGGCTCAGAATGTTTTCCTGACACTGAGCTGCGGCATAGCTCAGATCCGACCTTCCAGGCCCAGGTCGGATGCCTCCACACCTCTCTCCTACGGCCCTTCATCTTCTCAGCCCCCACACACCACCTGCCTTCCTTCAGACCCATGTCTGTCTCCCTGCTGCCCTTGTGTGTGTGCAGGCATAGCCTTCCCCAGAAGGAGCACACACAACCTATCCATCTCAGGAGTCCTCCCGGCATCAGCACTGGTTCTGCTGAATGAGGGAACACCTGCATGATGTCTGAGGGGCTCCACTCCCTGGAGCTCCCTTGGCTGTCTTCCGAGAGGTAGTGCCTGGCTTGGTTTCCCAGGGCTCTCAATGGCCATGCACCTCTGAAATAGGTTGTCTTTTTTTTTTTTTTTTTTAATATATTTTATTGATTTTTTACAGAGAGGAAGGAGAGAGGGATAGAGAGTTAGAAACATTGATGAGAGAAAATCATTGGTCAGCTGCCTCTTGCACACCCTCCCCTGGGGATGCACCCACAACCAACGTACATGCCCTTGACCGGAATTGAACCTGGGACCTTTCAGTCTGCAGGCCAATGCTCTATCCACTGAGCCAAACCGGTTTCGGCAGGTTGTCAGTCTTTACTACCAACTAGTCTAGATTGGAAACAAATAACAAATATCTTAGTCAAATCCACTGCTGAATGTCAGCACCCACTTTACCCGAGGCACGGATGGTCCCGGGGAGAGGAAGAACATGCCTGTGAGAAGAGTCTATGGTAAGACAGACATCTTGATGGACACTGATGATGAATTCCAGTGGTCAACTGAGCACTGGGCTTTGCTACTGCAGGAAATGCTGGGGGTGCCTGGTGTCTGTGTGGGGACCGGGGCGGGGGGGGGGGGCCTCCTCAGCAGCCACACTGACTCACATGCCTCCTAACGCTGCCCAAAACTGGCTTCTTCTCAGCCCCTAATGGGCCAAGCATTTGGCTTTTGGCTTTCCCTGGCTGGCACAGGTGGGAGCTGCCTCAGGCAGCAGACAGGTAGAGAGGGGCCCTGCTCTCCAAGTTCCAATGACACTGCTCACTAAGGGAAGGACCACGGCTTTGTCTCCTGGGATGCAGGGGAATGTGCTCTTCCCACACCTGGTCCCACTCCAAGGGGCTTCCTGAATTTCTGAGGCGATGGGTGAATCTGCCTGACCCTCTCCCACCATAATGCCACGTGACCAGAAACAACTCTAAAATCCACACCTTGGCAGAAATCCAGAGGCAGGTGCATGCACTGTGCTCTGGGATGTGCAGGCAGAGGGAACCGATGGCTGAGGGGCCCTGAGTCCCAGGCGGGGTCAGGGGGCAGGAATGCCCGCTGCCGGGCAGCTCTGCATGGCACACACACTGGTCAGGCATGGGAAGGTGCTACATACTATTTCGTTTGCTCTCCTCTCCTCCTTCCTCCTCATTCTCTGGATCAATGTCTTCCGCTTGGGTGATCCAGTCCAAGTAGCCCTTCAGGTCCTCTTCCAGCTGCTGCTTCTCCCGCAGTTTCTGGAAATCACCCCGAGCTTTCGCCTTCTCCCTTTCTTTTGAGAATTCTCTGAGGGGGAGGGCAAGAGAACAAGCACATGTCAGGACCCCGCGGGGACCCGCGGCCTGAGCCGCCTGCCCTGCGGCACCACAGCCCCGTGGCAGGACACACGGCGTGAGTGCGGCCACACGAGCACAGCAACAGGCCCACACACGTGACAGACAGGACAGTGGCTTCCCAAGCAAGACTGGGTGTGAGAGCTGCAGAGACCACCCCACACGCATGCACCAGCTCCTAACAAACCAACTCCCTCCAGGGTTCCAGATTCCCAAGGAGCCTAGGCCTAAAGCACCATGTGCCCTCAGGGCAGGCCTGACACCTTCCGCCCCAAGGGCCTGACTCAGAGGTTCCCTCCACCCCTCATTCCGCACCTCCCACCCCCGCCCCTGACAGCAGGCATCACACTTCAAAGAGAAAGGACCCGGGAGGGCATGGTGTGGTCACAGAGCACACCAAGTCAGTGTTTCTGCAATAGTTCCAGAAACGTAGCATTCCTCCTGTGTGCTGGCCCCTCTGTCCAAAACAAGAGCCCTGAGAGGCGGAGCAGTCCAGGCTCCCTCCCACCACACGCAGGCTCCGGGAGAGCAATGGACAGACTCAGGGGAGGCCCACCTCAGCCCCGGTCCCCCATCCCAGCCAGGAAGCGGAGCACTGGCGGGGCACCACTGTTGGCTTAACCCCGCTGCTTGCCGTGATCTGCCCCCTGCAGGAGGTGTGAGGCAGTGCCCAATTAGGGGAGCACCTGCCCTGGAAAGGCTGGCGGACGTGTCCATGTTCCCAACCGGCCGCCTTCACTCTGCCCTCGTGTCTGCACTGCTACATCTCTGCGTGCACACAGAACCCCACACGGCTTAGCCAATGGTCCAAGAGTCAGGTGGACCATTACCCACTTTCATGTACAAGGAACCATCTGCCTCTCCAGCCGAGAACGGTTCCAGGAGCCAAGTTATGTGAGTTGCTGATTAATGAGGATCATGAAAAGCTGCTAAGAAGGATGAGGTCCCAGGCAGCGCAGCTTCTGCACACAGACCCCCGGGTTCCGACCGAGGTCACATCTGCCTGCCTCTGCCTTCGGTCCTGCCCAAAGCCAGCACATCTGCCTTTCAGGCGCCACATTACCCCAACCCCAATGACAAAGGGGAAACAACCTGCTCCCAGAAAGCCAACCCCCATTCTCACTCCTCACCACCTCCCCCCAACACACACTCTGGGCTGTCGAGGGCTGAACAGATATGTGAGCAGCCAGTGACGCTGGCAGTTCAGATAAGCAACTGGCATCCTTGCCAAAGCTTCACCCTCTGCCCTCAGTTTGAAAGGACACACTCTGCTCATCGCCCACTCTTCTGACGCTCCGGAACCTGTGCTTGGCTCTGTGGGGGCTGGTCCGTCCCCAGGGTCACCCAAGGTCACCAGGGAAGCAAGGAGGGCAGGGCTGTGCTGCCTCCTGGACCCGGATCCCAGAGGAGCGCCCTCCAGGGGTGGGCAGGGGGCAGGGGACCGAAGATGGTGAAGATCCCGAGATGTTGTCTGCACTCCCCGCTCGGAGGCCTCTCCTCCCGAAGGGAGACCTCGTGTCTCAAAAAAGAAGGTGCAAACCATACCGTGGTGAAATGGCTGATTCAGGGTCAGGGCAGGATAGGTACAAGACAAAACAAGTAAAGAAGGTCTTTTAAAAAAAACACACCCAAACAATTAAATGAAAACATGATGGGGGCTTGCCCTAAGGATACAGGAGCCAAAGCAGCGCCTCTCACTGGCCAAATCTGTGATTGCGCCCCAAAAGTTAAAACTAAAGGTAGTAATGAATATAGAATAATTTTGAAAATCAGTCCACACTCTTATAGGTGACAGATGGCAGGCTCCTTGCGGGAATGGATGATGCTGTCCATTTCTTAGGTTTTTCTTTCCATGTCTCCGTCTCCTCCAGAAAGCCCCCCTTTAAGCAGCCATGCCGGAAGTCTGGGTACCAAACAAATGCACACAACAGAACAGGCCTATCCTTAAAGAGGCCAGAATGCATCAGGACAGCGAGCCCACAGCTCTGAGCTCTCCCAGGAGCATGAAACGCGTGTGACCAAGCCAGACATGCCGTCTGGAGCAGCCTCCACCACCAGCTTGCCGTTTCCTCTTAGCATTTACAGGCCTCAGGGGCTGTGGACTGGCTGTCTCCGGGTTGTTAGACACTCTTCCCTCCAGGCCCATGTACTCTGGAAGGAGCCATTTCTCAGGGAGGAACCTCTCTGCCAGCTGGACAACTACCAAGCGTCTTACGGGGCCGGTCTGCCCATACCTCGTCCACCGAAAGCGCCTGACCAAGTCAGGGCCAGAGCGTGTCATCGGCTTTGCTTCCCTCTTGGCTTCCAGTTTCTACTGCAGACCTGACTTCATCCTGGTGCTGTCTTGCTCAGGATGCCTCGTGGCTCCTCCCTGCCGCCCTCAAGAACCAAGGTCAAATGCTTCAGGCTGGCACGCAGCCCCCTAGCCTTCTCCCACAGGACAGGTACACTTTGCATTTTGGCTTCACTCTTCTCGGTCCCTCCATGCTCTGAGCCCCTGTCCATGGAATGCCATCCACCTGAACAGCCATCTTCCATCTTTAATTCCAGCTCACCTTCCCAGACCCAGCTTCCTGTGGCTACCCCATCCAGAGTCCTGCCTCCTGCCAATCACCAGGACACTCTGCTCACTGAACGTCAAGACACGGATGTGTGTGTGCCCTCTCCCAGCTGGCCTCCATGGATATTTGGAGCAGAGCCCAGCGCGATGCCTCATCCCCACCTTCCCTGGAGAGTGCCCACTGTGAGGAAGGGTACAGACATAGGGGAAACTGAGGCACTGGGAGGTTGGTCACACAAGCCCGTCTAGCTCCCGAATGACTCTCCTAAGAACCTCAACACGGGCACATTGGAGGCAGAGGAAGGAGAGGGCAGAGTATGAAGGGATGAGTTTAGAAAACAGGCCTTAAATCCCAAACCAAGATATTGGGGTTGTTTCCCTGAAGGCAATGGGGAACCAACATAAGTTTGATAGGAGAGAGTCCTTATCAGCTTTGTTTTGCAGGAGTTACTTGGGAAGATGAGATAAGAATAAGAAGATGATGGTGGTGAGGCAGCCAGAAGGCACTCAGTAAACAATGAGTGAGACTGCCTAGATTCAACATCAATAAAAATGCAAGGTGAAAGTAATATGGCTCTGATAAGATTCCCATCTTTCTTACACTATAACCCGGAGAAGCACCTGGAGGCCCGCCATTGATGACCCCCAACCACCCCTCCCTCTCTGGGCAGTTTCACCTTCACCCCTTTTTGTGATGGTGCCCGAGTGCTATCATCCCAGTTACCACGGACCTTCCCGCAGGGCCAGATGATGCCCACCTGCCATGCAAACATCCCTTGCCTACCTGCTCAGGAAAGAAAGTCAGGTACGTAGGGAGGCAGAGGAAGGGTGAACAGGAAGTCAGATGGAGAAAAAGAACCCTGACATATGCCCACCTGAGCCCACCACCACCTTAGACAGTCCTTCACCCGAGACTATGCCAGCCCTGGGCCCCACCCATCAATCCATAGCAGTCGCAGCAGGATCTGGGCCTTCGCTGCTGGGGGCTGACCTGGTTTCCTGCAGGAGAGCCCACCTGGGCCACAGCCCCTCATTTTAGTAACAACAAAAACCTCATGTATTTCAACCTTTATCTGGAGCCCTCAACCTGTCTTTGCATGCACTGTTCCTCAGGACCCTTGCGACCTCAGTGTGGGATGAGCAGGAGGAGGATTTTCTCTCCCATCTCACAAAGACAGAGGCTGGGGTTCCACAAGGTATTGTGCTAATCCCATGCATGTGCCCTGCACACAGGGACCCCAGGGCTCCTAACCATTGCTCTTTCCACGGAATGCCAACTCCTCTGTCTCCTGGCTCAGGAGATGCACAGAATGGATGCTTATTGATCAGGATTAGGAAGAGAGGGCAGGGCAGAATGCACTGGTTACCCCACATCCCATCTCCTTCCACAGCCCCAACACAGGCTCAGAGGAAGGTGGCAGCGCCCTTTCTGCTCATCTCCCCATGAGACACCACCCGGGAAAGACTCTCTGAGCTGGGACCCAGCCAGCCTTCCTCCTTGGGAGCCCTTTCCACCCCCGTGTGCTGGGCACATGCAGAGAACTCCCAAGCCTGACACTGCCTGAATCTCCAGGCCCTGACGTCCAGGCTCTGGGAGCCCTGGCTCATCAGCACTGCTGGGGAGAGCACCGAGCCTGGAGCAAGCCACTGCCTCCAAAGGCAGTGCAGGGCCCCGGATGCCACAGATGCTGAAGGATAACACGCCATTTGCTCTGGAATGTGTTAGTTCTCAGATGCCCCATAAAATAAAGGGGCCACTGGAAGTCATGTTGATTTAGAGAGAGTGGTTTTTTCTTGAAGGACTGTAATGCTCCTTGTTCTAACCTGATTCACATAAATAAAATTTAGACAAATACTTAGAAATATATACACATGCAGAAAGCAAGCATAAAATCTACAGTGAGCAAGGTCAACAGAATCACTAGATCCCAGATTTCAGGCAAAACTGAGGAATCAGATTCACTCTTTCCTCCTGTCCCCCCTCAAAAAAAAAAAAAAAAAAAAAAAAAAAAAAAGGCAGCATTTATAAAAAGTAGAAGGAAGTTGAAGAGTAACCCACTAATTTTTTATCATTAGAGGCCAGTCTTCCTTAGACCTAAATTATTTTCTCTACACAGACATAAAGAAAGAAAACAGATGAAAAAGTAGTTTGGCTCAAAAAATATTTTCTTATTTAAACCTTAATTTTTTTGGAAAGCATGTAAATTCAGTTTCTGTTAAAAAAAAAACAACACAACAACTAAGGGTTTTATTTTAAAAATCAACAATAAAGTGTGATGTTTCACAATAAATTTAAATTAGTGGCACTGATTTGGTTCAAAGTTCATCAAAATCATTTCTGTTGCTCCAGTTTTCCCTCAATCAACCACAAAAAGCCAAGATTAGCCACAGTA